ATTCATTCATAATATGATAAACTTCTGGTATTGACGCTTTTCTATTCTCTTCTCCCAATTCAAACATTTTTAATAAAAAATTTTTGAGATTAAAAAATAAATAAAATTTAAATGTTTTTTAAACTTCTTTAAACGATTTAAAATTTCTATTTAAAATTAGTATTTAAGTAATATAAAGTTAAAATTAAAATTTTTTGATAAATTTATGTTTGAAAATATTAATAACATCAACATATAAAGTATATGACATATTTCATGAACCTTTAAAATATATTGGTGATAAAAATATTTGTGTTAATTTATAGAAAATAGATGAAAAAATGTTAAGTTAAAATGAGAATATAAACACTATAAAAGATATTTAATGAAAAATACAGCCTTTGAATTTAAACAATGTTAAATATTCTTAAGAAAGTAGTTGAATAAGATTGATTGCCACAATCTTTAAAAAGCTATATTCAAATATCTATGAATTTGCTTTGGAATCAAATTGCGGTTTATCAACTATTTTTAATGTTTGTTATGTATGAAAAAAATGTAATAAGTTAGATATTGGTTCATAAGAATTTTTCGGAAATAAAAAAATATTATAGTTAATAGTGTTAAAAAATTAATATAAAAAACACAAAAATTATTTGAAATTTTTTTATCTTTTTATGATTTGATAAGGTAGTTGATAACTAAAATAAAAATAAATTTAAACTTTTTTAAATATTATTTTTGAAGATTTTTACATACTTTAATAAGCACTGTTTTGATTGATGCCTCATTTTTTAATTCTAACCCGTCAATTGGATTGGTGCCACAAAAACCGATTGGCGCCCCATAAATTATTATAACAAAAAATATTTATAACAATTAATTTTATTAATAATTCTTCCCTAATAACTTCATATAAACTTCAAATTCAGAACCCTTGTATTGGTACCAAAAGCAAAAAAAGCTTTAATGATAGTATAAGAGTAAAATTCCTGTCCTTCTTTTATTCTTCGTTATTTTGAACTTCGCATAGTTTTATATACACTCAATCAACCAGGTGTGACATCCAGTTGTTGAGTCTAAAAAATTCTCATTATAGTTTACCACGTTGTGGTCATAGAAAAAAGAGTTTAGACAATGGTATGCTTTTTACCCATCTGAGACTATAACACTTTGTGTGTCCACATATTTAAGCAACAGTGGTAACAAATGTCCCTATCTCGTTTCTCTACAAGAAACATCTTAAATTTCCTTGAGCCTTGCTCTGACATTCTAAAAATCCGTGGTCCGTCAACTCTGTAACCAAAGTTGTTAGTGTGATTGTTAATCCCATTACTCTTCATGAAATTATCAAATAGAAGTCTTCTTTGGTTGTAATTTCGACGATCTCTAAAAAGACAATCATCTATTTGTACAACTTTCCCCGGTCTTCCTAATTTTTCACTCATAATATAATTATAAGTTTCTAATTGGATGAAATTAGTCTAGTTGGTCACTATATCAGTTTCTTTAATTTGGGTCGCTGTCATTATGTATGATACTATTCTTTCCTCAAAAAAAAAGAAAGATAAGTGACACATTCTGGTGAATGATTAAAATAATTAAACATAAGATAGGTTAATTTAATAAATTTTCTTAAATACTATAATATTACGTAATGTAAAATGTTAGTGACGTGATGATATTAATAATTTACTTATTATTAAAAATATGATACTACTAAAATAAATATCCTAATATATAAAAAAATTGTTGTAGTTATACAACAGTATCCCCTCTCAAAAGAGGTTTAAGACGATGGAAAGGAATCCATTCTGTAGGTTTTCTTTTGGATATAATTTCTGATTACGAGCACAATAATTAGCTTGTTCAACCAGGTCCCTGAAAATCTGGTAATAGTTTCTAATAGTAAGAAAATTAGAGATACATAAATTCTCTAATTGGTTAAGATAGCAATTAAACTTAGCACAAGGGTACAGATGTTCTATGAGAAGCTTCATAGCAGATTCATAAGAAAAACAAGGTTCTATTATTGATCGTTCGTCAATATATCCCAACGAACGTTTTAGTGGTATAAGAGCCTCTTCGTTAGTCCATTTGCAATCTTTCTTGCATAGTTTGAAATATTTCAACCACTGATAAGTATTTTGAGAATCAGGATCTACCAAAACACTTATTGCAATGTAGTCTTGATCAAATTCAAGGGAATTACCTTTGATTTTAAACTTGACCACTGGTGGTGCAGTAGTGTAGTTAGGTGTCTGTTGAGATACCGTATTATAATCTTTGGCATTTACATCTTTTGAATTCAAATTGACACATTCTGGTGAATGATTAAAATAATTAAACATAAGATGGGTTTATTTAATAAAATTTCTTAAATACTATAATATTACGTAATGTGAAATATTAGTGATGTGATGATATTAATAATTTACTTATTATTAAAAATATGATAGTATTAAAATAAGTATCTTGATATATAAAAAAATAGTTGTAGTTATACAACAATAAGTTTTATCAACTTCTAAATTGATGTTACAAGTCGTATTCTTCCTTCTCCATAACAAAAGAAGGTATTCGCAAAGAGACTCTGCTCTTTACGGTACGACTTGCACCGGAGAAAGAAGTGCGTGTCAACTTTCTTTCTAATTCTCACGGAAGAGTGTCTTTTGCTTTCACAAAATCCACACTGCCTTTCGACCATGTGTTTTATGACTCCAATGAACTCATGAAAACTTAAAAAGGTATTGTCTTCTAAAATAGCTTTTAATAGCTAACTATATTATATTAAGGATGTAAATTTTTTTAATAAAATTTTATGAGACGCTAATCGGAAAATGATGCGCTAATCAATTTTAGCTAGTTAGTTTTATCTATGGCACCCCAATCAAAAGAATGCCGATGGCCCTTTTAAGATCTATTTGTAGAATCTTAATATTATATCTGTAGATTATTTTTTAAAAAATTTCTCTTTAAATTCTTTGATAAAACTTGTCCAATTATTAATTTCTTTACCTTCAAGAGCCTCAAATTAAAATAAAGCATATCCTTTCAAGCAGACTTTTAACTCTTTTAATAATTTAACATTATACCAATTTGCCTCAAACAATATTATGCTTGTAAAGAAATCCTTTGCCTTTGACTTATTGTAATTAAATTTAAACACTACAAGTTTTTCTCTTTTTAACTTCCTGATTATTTTTTTCACAAGATATTTTTCCCGTTCGTTTTCAATAGTTTCTGTTATTCCATCGACGTCACCAATGTTGTGGTTCTGTTGGGATCCTAATTACTTTCTTTTTAAAAATGTTTTATTTTTTTTCATAAAACTTCATTTATTTACCTTTTTTACAGGTTAGCCTCTTGTGTATCCAACATATAAAATAACAATAAAATTTATTAATTATCTTTTCCTATTATTTTTAAAAAAATTTCAAAAAATTTCTCTTTATACAAGTAACAAAGCAAAAAAAACTAAATATACTTTGTAATATTGACAGGGTAGTTCCTCTTTTATTCTTTATTATTTTTTAATTTCACTAGATTCCAAATAAACTCAATTAATAGAATTTTGCAATGAGTTTTCGAGGTCAATAAAATTTAGACTGATTAACAACCTCTTAATCGTTAAACATAATATCTAGCCCAGAATAAGTCCTCTATCCATCATTATAAATTATGCTTTTTTCATCCACATGTTCAAGTAGGAAAAGAAGATAAATATTACGGTCCCTCTTTTCTACAACAAATATTTTAACCTTCCTAGATCCTTCTTCTGCCTTGCCAAAAATTCATAAAGTATTTATACAATCACTATAATTCATTTTGCGACCAGTATCATCAACATTTTCCACAAAGTCATCAAGAAGAAGTCTACCGCTATTATACTTTCGGCGACATCTAAATAAAGATTCTTCAATTTACACAACTTTTCTTTTCCTGTTAGTTTTTTACACATGAAATAATTATAAGTTTCCAAACCTATGAAGTTTTTCCAATTGATTATTCCTTTATTTCCTTTAATATCAGTAACAGGTATTATATACTGTATTGATCAAAAAAATGACTATTAAAAAAAGAGTAAATGAATAATACTAAGTATTTTTAATAACAAAACACATAACAAACACATCTTGTTTAAGAAATAAAAATCAAGTATAAAAAATAAATAAAAAAAATATTTTACAGATGATTAATAAAAAATATAAAATAAAATTGTTAAAAAAAGTGAATATTTTTTATTTTCCCTCCAAAA